TGGGTTCTGGCACGGGAGCAATCTTGCTCAATGTATTAAAATTATCTTCCATTAAGAAACACACAGGATGCTCAGCTCCTGTTAATTCTCCCCAATTGGTCTGCAGCACTGTGTCAACCTCAACCAATTTTAAGATGTATGGTTTACAGCTCTCAGAATTCCATAAGGTGTAGTGTTCAAAAATTTCTATTTTGTTCCATTCATCTTCTGCTTTTTTTTTTTTAATGTCTGCTATACATAGGTCATTTTCAGGACCATTTTCAGGAATGTACCTTGCAAGCAACTCTATTTTGCTTTCTATGCAAGCCAGATGAGGCTATGTGTATGCTCTACTAATGGACTGGATGAGGATGAACAAACTGAAGCTCAGTCTGGACAAGAAAAATACATCCTTTGTTGACACTCCCTTAGCCCAAGATAGACAGAGTGGTTCTTCCATAATGAAAGAGATTAGAAGTCTCAAAGGACTTTTACTGATTCTCAAGTCTCTTTCTTGACTTATTGCGAGGAAGTAATTGGCACTTGAAATCAAAATGACACGTGGGTCCAGAACTTGGATAAGAATGAAATTTGATGTACTGTAGTAAAAGTTATGTACAGTTAATCTTATGTCTTATGAATTTTGTTTACTTTCTGTCACATTAAATATAGCCATTCTTTCCAAACGTTGGTAGTGGGAGGATATTTCAAGGCAATTAGGGGCCACAATGGGCCCTAAGGCCAATTTCCAAGGCAACTTTTACCAATGAAGGAGAACGCAACCTTTCTTTGTCCCTCAGTCCAGAGCATAATTAAGAGCAAGGACCTTCTTCCAGGTGGTCCCTATTTGGAAGTCTTTCCCCAAAGAATTGACTGTACAGTACAATAAATTCCTTTAGTCATACATTCTCCCAAACTTTTCCTATTTGTTATCCCTATCTCTTTAGTGTTTTAATGATTTCTGGATTTATTGTATATATTAGGTCTTTTGTTTACATGTAGTCCTCAGGTTATGACAACTCGTTCACTGACTATTCAAAGTTATACTGTCCCAGCATCTCCATGGAGTTGTACCTGGGCACAGCTTGCCTTTACAATGGTTGCAGCATCCAACAGTCACATGCTCATCATTTGTGACCTTCCCTGCTGGTATCTCACAAGCAAAATCAGTAGGGAAGGTGATAAGGAAAGTTGTTGGTCACTCAGGTAAGTCACTCCAGCTGCATTTATTCCCAAGGAGCCCCAGAGATCTTGTACTCCATAGCAACATACACCCTTGCTAGCCTACAGTCTGTAGTGCATGTGCATCTGCAAAATCCCCCTGCTCACCTGTGCTCCATAGTATGCACTGGCCCACTTACCATCTCCGTTGACTCAGCCATACGTCATAGCACCCACCTGCAGTCATTCCCAACTCACCTGTGGCTCCTACCAACCTGTTTGTAGCCCCCACATATTTGCTTGGGACTCCTTCCTTCTTTACTCCCAAACAATCCTGGGATTATGGCAGCAATGGGGACTGCCAAGATTGCCATTGCTAACTGATGTGGTCATGTGATATCTTGCTCTATGATCACATCATTTAGTGATGGAAATATGAGTCCCAATTGCAATCATAACCTGAAGACTGCCTGTACATTTTTATCATGTTGGCAGGTTTAATTTCGATGTTCTAACTTGTGAATGCTTTTCCTGGTTCTTTTATACTGTTGCTGATATTTTAGGGCTTTGTTTAATTTCATTATTGCTCTGTGCTTGGCTAGGTTGTTTTTCCTCAGGGAACTGCTTCCTGAAGTCCCTACTGATCCACTCCATATTATTATCTTTTAAATATAAAACATAAAATGGCTTCAGCATACTTGTTTTCAGAGCTTAATCCACAGTGGGCTCTGTGTATGTTTGCTGTTTAGAGTTGGAAGCTTGGGAAAAAGAAATAAGCAGATGCTGCTAAATGTCTACAACCATGAGGGGAAAAAAAATCACAATTGTTTAGACTAAAGCAGGCATGCATTTATAGTTTTTCTTTCTTAAATCACATACCATTAAAACAAATGTTTTTTCCCCTGTGTTTTGTTGAATAACTTAAGTACGGCTAAACAAGTATGGCTAATTTCTGCTCAAGCTAAAGAAATAAATTTTCTTAGCCACTTTTAAAGGCCACTTTTCTTGTCCCACATATTTCTAGAAATTTAAATACATATTATCTAGATTATTTACTGATGGCATTTTCTTTAAAGAAAATATAGTTCTTCAATCTCTGATAAAGATAATACCATGGGGATGAAAGCACTATTTGAAACTAAATTTCCAGAAAAATGAACCATGACACCTCCATAATTCATTATTCTAATTACATTTAACAGCAGCTTGCACTTATATGAGCTCTTGTAAACAGTTAAGAGGTTTTCATCTGTGGAAAAACTCTCTTACTCAATCACCAAACTGTTAAAAAAAATAGAATTGTGGGAAGTATTCAAAAAAGCAGTTTGAATATGGAAGAAAACATTCCATTATGGATATAGACTTTAAAAGGTTTTCTAGTTTTAAGTGAAAATATGCAGTAATTGCATTTTTCCCTCACTCTGAAGATGCTGTGTATGGGGGGGGGCAAAAGCCATCTGCTCACAGATGAAATAACATAGCAGTGAAAACCACAACTGAAAAGGCATATTGATAGGGTAAAAGTATCCATTCTTAAAAGTGTAGATTGGTGTAATGCAAGCTGCATACATTTTAGCGAGAACTGTGTGAATGGCTGCTGAGAATGCTGTACCTTATTACATCATTCTTTAAAAGAAATGCTTATGTTATGAGGCTATAGAAAATAATTAGAGAATTTGGGAGTCAGGTAAAAGCATCCATAATGATAAGAAGAATCAGTGCTTTTTTTGTATATATATATAAAAAAGGTACCGGAACTCACACACATCATACAACCTGCCTTGTCTACCCTACAAGGTTCCATCCCAAAAAGGTGCTGGAACTCTGTTCTGGGCGTTCTATGACAAAAAAAAAGCCTTGAGAAGAATCAATATAACTTTATAGGTTTGCTTCTGTCTTCGTACTTCTGAATTGAAGCAGAAAGATTAAAGATCCAGTGTGAGAAGCTTTTCTTTCTCACCTCACTTTTTGAAAATGTGATATTGCCACTTTTCATGGGCAATTTCTTAAGGTGAATAGCTAAAGCAAGACTTTCTAAAAGTTTCACAGATCGAGATTCAAGGAAAGCCACGGGCTGAATGAAGCCAAACTCAATCTGAGAATGATGGTTCTGATCAGATAAGGTAGTGCTAGCCATAATGAGTATCGGTGTGGAGAAAATACAGGATATAAATCAAATAAATGCATTTCAGCTTTGTAAAGTGATTAGGACTATCTTGCAGCCTATCCTTAAGCTCTATCTCTATCTCTAAATCATACATAAGAAACTTGCGTTGCTGGAGTGAGAAAGCAATACTTTTTTAATAGCCATATCTCATATTGTCTTCATAAGAAGGCCTGTTTCTAAGATAAAAATTCTACTGAAGAATGAAAAGGAAAAGGAAAGGAAAATTTGCAGCTTTAGGACTTTAAATAGATTGGAAAGCTCCTAGTTCAGAATCAGTTTGATTGCTGTTGCTGTTAACAATCTAGTTCACACCTATTCATTATACTTCACTAAAGAAATTTCTAGGTGACTATTATAATCATCACTCCCTCCTGGTTTTAATACTACTAGGGTTCCTTGAAAGAGTAGCATAACTTGACTCTCACAGATATTGCCCAATTTTAACAATATATATTTATCTACATGCATTAACAGGATAGGCATGACTCCTTCCAATAGAAGAGATTATTTGTAGTTCGGGGTTGAACTGTGAAGTATTTGGTGCTCTCTGAATTTGGTTGTTTGATTACAGATATTTAATTACCCAAGTAGGTGACATTAATGGACTCAAATTGATTATGTTACCTAGTTGGGTAAGGAAATGTTTGCAAGCAAACAACCAAGCTTAGAGAGCATCAAGAACAACTCTATTACTCCTTCTTTTGTTTTTGGACAGATACACAATTGCCCATTCACAGATATATTGAAAGGTTTCCTTTTCCAGCCTGTATGGTTGTCAATTATTGCTGGGCTGTTCATTCTTTAACACTAAACACATATGTTGGTATTGTATTTCATACTGCAGTTCCTTTGCCAGATTGGTTTATATAATAGCAGATGAAAAACTTCTTTTTAGTTTATTGATCTGCAATCATAATTGTGATCTAATTCTTCTCAGTTTTATTATAAACAGCTTTTAGCAGAATGCAAGTACTTACATTGAACTATTGCAAAGTTATTTATAGATCACCATATTCAAAACAATTTGCACCAAATTATTTCACACAAATTAAAAAATAATTAACAATAATATTCTCCAGGATCACAAACTTCATTACAAATGCATTTCATTTCCTAACAGGATGAATTAATGGCATTGATGGTTATGTGCAAATGTATAGGTTGTTTTTTTTTTTTAAAAAAAACCCACCCACCCCACCCACGGCGAGAAAAGAGGCAGGAAAAATAGAGAATGCTAATGCGAACATTTTTAGAATAATCAAACCAATAATCTGATGAAAATACAAAGGATAGCTACTGCTTGAATGCAAATTACTCAAATGCAAATCAAACCCAACCATACAATTCAGTCTATACTTATGACAATTCTATCAAAAGATTCTCAGAAGGATTTCCTTTAAAACCATATTGGAATATTATTGTGCTTTTTTTAAACGAATAGTTCAGTAAAATATTTACTAGATCTAGTAGCTTTGGAGAGCAAAGTGTGGAATGACCATTAGATGGCAGAAAACAGATGTAGATAATGACTCATTAATGCCATCTAGCGATGTCAGTTTTTTGCAGCCCAGACCTGGTAGCCCAAATATAAATTGCTATCAATGTATTCCCACACATGAAGCTTAGCTGCAATATTTGTAAAAAAGAAAAAGAAAAAAAGAAATTGTTTTTCAAGAAAAGAAATGTTTAAAAATATCTATCGATCCCTGCTCCAGGAATTAAAACACTGTTTAATATTTTTTAACAGGATCAATACAATCTCTCTTCTTGGGTACAAGGTAATCAGGGATAAAAAGTGACAATTTTATACATCATGTCAAATAGTTAAGAATTCCAACAATGTATCCCTGGATTGAATTGTTTTATGCACAACTTCTTTAAGGGTTTTTCTCTGTCAAACAGAGTAATGGAGTAAGATTATTAAATGCCCCACAATCAGGTAGATGTATCTGTCAAGTGGAGTTACCTCATATGCCACAATAGAGAAGAAAATATTTTATCAGAATATGATTGGGGGGGGACAAGGAAAGAAATTTAGCTGTATAAATATATACACAATGTGAAAATGGTTTATAATTTACAAAGGATATGGATTAAGAATAAGTTAAATAAAAAGTGATTTCCATAGTTTTTTTTAATAAACATCTCAAAAAAGATTCATTTTAATACTCCTTTTACAAGCACATGTAATAATATTTTGGATATGATACACACAACCTATTTATATAACAAAATGATGTAGTTTTGCTTCTTTCTGCTTTATCTGATTTGGTTTGGTTTAAAGAGGTAGGGTACAAAGTGGAAACTTGATGAGAAAGACTATTTTCTCCTGCCCGTGCTTCTGATTTTAATCAGTGGAAAGTGCAATGTGGGGGCCCAGTTTTGTCTCTGGGCAGCCTTATAAATTGAAGCACCTTTAGCTGCTTGATGCTATGATCCCCTTGAAAAGTTCATTCAGAGAATGAAGAGGTGCTTGCAGATTACAAGTGAATAATGTTTTTCTGGCACTGAGATTTCAAAAGTTCTTCTCCATTCTCTTAAAAAGCTGCTGCAATTATGGATATGAAACAGATCCTGGGAGGGAATGCACAGAACTGGTGCTTGAAGTTTGAGGTGAGCAGGTTGCCAAGTGCTGTCCACCTAGGCCAGCATCTTCTTCACTAGTCTCTTCCTTCTGTACAGTGTTTTGGGATGGACATTCAAAATGTACACAATGAAATACCTGAAAGAGAGAAACTTAAATTACTAAAAGGAAGGCACAAGCAGAGGTAGATCTAAATGACTTGCATTGAGCATAAACATGGAACATATAGAAAGATCAAACAACTTAATTTATTTAATTCCATCTCCATGGACTATAGGCCATATTCGCTTCCTTCCCACAGCAGCAATATGTAATTTAATATATAGTTGTGCAGCACTTTCATTTTGATGAGAAAAAAAATGTTCCAGGGCCATATGAGCATGAATATAGCATCTACCGGTAGCTCTTTAAATAAAACATAACTTTCCCCAGGATTAAACTGCAACTCTTTAGGACAAAATGCAAACCTTCCCTTCAGAACTGCTGCACAGCGTCCGTATTTAGAAGGATCATCCTGAATTTAAGATGATCCATTAGAAAAACAAAAAGTAGACAAAATAAATAAATACAAAACTTGTGCAATGCCAGGTTTCCCAACTTGTTAACATAAGGGGGGGGGCACTTCTATCTAGAAATAATCCTGATCTTTTTCTCCTTGAACAATAAAAAATTGTATGTGTCTACATATAATTGTAAAAAAAAAGCCCCCGTGTCCAAAATAGTATAGGACAACAGAAATAATAACACATGGAAAGAATAACAATCGATTAAAATCAATTGCCATAGAATAAACCACTTCCTTTATAAAACTAATTTCCCATCACATATTCCAATCATAACTACACACAAAAAATTCACACTGATATGCATAAAGCTACAAGCACGTAGCCATTCTTCTCCTTACTTCTGGAAACAGGAAAAAAAAAACAAGATAGTGATAGAATCATAGGGAAATATCAAAGGAAGGGAAGAAAATTGGATGGTTATGAAGCAAGCAAAAGTTATGAAGTAAAGTACAAGCTCTGTTTAGGCTCTATAAAAAGTGTTAAATGTTCTCTTTTAAGTCTAATCTTCAAAAACATCCACATTTTCCAGCACCAATGTCTGCAGTCATTAACTTGTTTTCAGCAGCATCTTCTTTTCAATTTATATGAGAACCTTTTCACCATTATTTGAGGAAAAAGTAATTTTCCTATCAATATCTCAAGGCTATATTCCCTAAATGTGATGAAGCCGACTATAAGTCACAAAAGCCTAAGTCAGTGGTTCTCAACCTTTTTAATGCCGCGACCCCAACCAGTTGTAAGTCGAGGACTAAACCGGTGGTAAGTCAAGGACTAAACTGGTCGTAAGTCGAGGACTAAACCGGTCGTAAGTCGAGGACTACCCAACCGGTCGTAAGTCGAGGACTTTCCCTGCCCGGGAGCGCCACGCATGTGTGGTTCCGCCCCCTGCACCGGCTGAGGCGTAGCTGGCAAGCGGCAGAGACGGAGCAGGCCGACCACCAGCTGGCCCAGCCCAAGGGAGGTAAGGCACCCGCCGGAAAAGGGGGAAAAAATGGCGGACAGCCTTGCTTGGCGACCCACATGAAATGGTCGATCGACCCCAAATGGGGTCCCGACCCACAGGTTGAGAACCACTGGCCTAAGTGAATAAAGGTGGTCCTCGTTTAATGTCCATGCATCTAGCGACTGTTCAAACAACCGTGCTGAACAAGTGGCAGTTACAACCTGTCTTCCAAGTTCTGGCTGTGTAGCATTGTTGTGTTCACATGATTACAATTCAGTGCCCAGCTCACAATTACAACATCACAGCAAGCTGTGGTCACGTGATCACAATTTCTAATGTTCCCTCATGGCTATTTCCTTTGCTATAGTGATATCAAGAAAACATACAAAGTTGACTGAATTTCACAATTACTCACTGGGTCATAAACAACTGGTACATATTTTTTTCCATCAGATTTTTCCAGATGCGCCTACTTATAATACATTTCTGATTGCTGGTGCTTTGTCTTTAATTTTCATAATAAAATTATAGATTTTGTAAGTTTTAAAATATTGTTTTAATTTGCTGTATCTTTTGCTATCTCAATTATTTATTTAATTTTGATAGGAAAATTAGATCATTGTGGCAAACATAAATTGCACTTTAATTCATAGTCCAAACTGAATTTCTAAATAAATATTGGGCTGAAAAAACATAATTTCTTATATTTTGTAACTGTGGTTTTACAGCCTACTTATAAAGCTGGCAGCAACTCTGAGAAAGCCCGACATGATATCAACGCTTTATCTAATAAAGACATATTTGACAGGTCTAAATGTGAGGCGCTATACTAATAGAATCCAAAACTGCAAAATTCTTTGTTCCCCAGTAGGGAAGGCTCCAACCATGTATGGCAGCAGTGTCAATTGTTGAATTCAAGCAGATTTATGAAGCAGAGAATGATAATTTAACAATCCCTAATATTCTAGGTAAGGTATCTTTCTTACTACTCTCTTTAAATGTGGAAAATGTTCTCTGAAACAAGAATTGTTCAAAAGAGTAGTACGTACTATATGAATAAGTGTATTTTTTTTAAAAAAAACTGAACTCTTTTAAAGGTTTAGTTTATGGTTGATATAATCACCAGCCTCTGGCAGATAGATAATTGTATTCCATGATATAATAATCTTTATCCCCATCTGTAAAGTAGCAATTTCTACACTATGTATCTGCTCTGGTCAAAAGTAGTAGTATTTTGAATGAAAACAAAAACAAAATTTTATATATTCAAATCAAATGCCAATATGTTTTAATAAGCAACATCAAATGTATGCAAAAAACCCTTCAACCTAGAACACTATATGGAAAGACATTTAACCAACTTTAATTATCTGACACAGCATGATAGAAACCTGCCCTTTTTTTACCTTTGTGCCTACTTTGAAATAAAATAGGTGGTGTTTTGCACATCTCAGCTCTGTGAATTCAGTAGTTGGTTGGGGCTTCAGATTCACTGTTTCAGCTTGATCTCCTCTGTAAGACTTTAAATAGTACGTGAAGCACATCTATTCCTTTAGCTCACTGAAAAAATGTGAATTCCAGTAATTCCCTGATCATGTCATTGAACAAAAGCCTTGAAAATTATCTCTCAGGCTCTTTGTTGGCAACAGATATATTTTGTAAGAGATCATTTGTCAAAGACTTAAAAATGTAGTTTTGATTGCTATTTGCTCTATATATTTTTGGAAAAGACAGCAGGATATTATGTGCCACTGGAGTGAGATTATAAAGGCTTGAAGTACTTTTGTGCCACTGGTTGTATCAACCAAACTTGAAATTTGGTTAATACCACTTGAATGTGAATTAGAAAAAGTGGTTAAAATACTTCTAGTTGAATAAAATTGTCACCCGAGGGGGAAAATATGTAATACACTTTTATGATTAACAATTATAACAATTCTGACTTTAGATAAATACCTACTTGGACTTTTGCTTTAGATTGATGAGAAAAATGCTGAATTTTTTAGGAAATATTTTTCCCCTTTTAAACAAATATAGAAACAGATTAGCTAATAATATCCTATATTTTAACGTCTTTCTGCTTATGGTTTAAAATACAAGTAAATCTCTTGTAAAGCACTAGAAGGAATCATTCCAGTGACACTGTGTAATCTTCTTCTGTAAAATGTTTTTTTAAACATTTCTGTTTGATCTGATAGTTAATGTCAATTAATTTCACAAAACACTGGAAATGAATAAATATTATCCAAGCATTAAAAAAACCCATGCAAATACCTTGACCATAACTGTCACTTTATTTCTGTCTGTGGATTGTGGAAATATTATTTCCAACCCTCTTTTAATAGTAATAGGACATTTTTATGATTTTAGCTGACTTCTAAAGGGTCAAAACAAAACTGATGTAACATTACTTTTTCAAGCATTAGAATACTTTCTCCTTGTTTTCTCATCTTTGCTGCAGCCAAAAATCCAAGTAACTTCTTAAAGTGTCACTGAACATTGACCAGACATATTCAAGTAATTACTAGCCCCTGCTTCATACAGTCTCTGTATGCTCTACATCACAATCCAGAAGCCTTACCATAAATATGAAATCAGTACACCTTTAGACATGGTGTTTGATTGTTCAAAAGAATGTGTAGGCTCAGTAATTGAAGATGCTTCTTTAAAGTCCAATAGCAATGGGCTGTTCAATTACTTAGGAATGTGAGTCATCATATATCTGACTTGGGTTGTTTACATTTGATATTTTTGGTCTCGAAAGCTGCCTGAATATGCTATTTTTGTTATCCCATCTCTGCCTGGATCCTCATATTTATTAGAGAAATAGCACAAGGAAAATGTTCCTATTACAGGATGCTCTTGTAACTAAATTTTAACTGGGGAAGGGATGCATATTGTTAATGATCACTTAAATGCTAATATCTTCTTACTGATAAAGTAATATAAACATAGAAGAAAAGCAAAGAAAAAGAGAAAGGAAGAAATTCCTACTGTCAAAGTCCTCAGAGATTTTTCATTTATTTATTATTTTGTTCAGCTGTTGCTTTGCCATGTACTTCCAGAGTTCTATCTGTATTTACATTACAGCTCTTCCTTCAATTTTCTGAGTGATTTCTCATTTCCAAATGTGTGGATCTGTTGCTTTGAAGACACTTTGCAAAATACAATTTTCACTTTTTTTAAACAACAGCTGCTGCCATTTTTCTAACTATCACAACTGGGGAATTGAATTTCACTAAATTGATCAATTATCTCAAACAGAGTCCTTTTCATGGGAAAAGTTGCACAATCAACAGTTAAATCTGCTTCAGCACAATTTTAGTATTTAATATATTAGCAATTCCTTTCCAAAATGATCCTGCCCTAGGCAGGTAATAATAACTTCTCATATAACTAACTAAATGTAATAAAATTATCACAACAAAATATATCCTAATAAACACAAAGAAAACACTAATCACATAAAATAATCAGTTGAAAATATCTATTTCAAACCAATACACCAGCACCCCCAAGACACAATTTTCTCTCTCGGAGGAAATATCAACCCATAAGCTGTATCTCTGATATCAGCAAGCATATTGGAAAATAACACCCATATTAATGCTGAATTATGGTTATTATCT